GAAATATCTTTCCAATTCTGATGATATTTAAGTAAGTAAGCAATAATTATTTTGTTTATAGTAGTTTTTCTTTTTTCACCTTAACGTCATATCTCAAGGTTATATTTTCAACATTTTGTAATGCTCTCTATTGAAGTCAACATATCTCTATTATTACAGTTCTTCTGATCTTAAATTAATGCAGATATATTGCCTATCTCTTTACTCACATTCAATAATACCAATTAGGTGTGTGCGTTAGACTTATCTCCACGTGGAGCGTCCTGGGCAACGTATACTCATACGGCAAAAATTCTATTAACTGGCGGTTGACATCTCACTTTAAACTACCATTACCCCACTCTATGTCATATTCAACCCCTTCCACAGTATCGATCTTACCTTTTCCCTGCCTTTTTGTCCCTCTGTCTGTCTGTCTGTCTGTCTCTGTTACATCTGTGAATCATTATTCTGTCCTCCCGTCTCGACTTTTTGTCACTTTCATGTTTCTCCTTCTCTCTGTAACTATCAAAACGCCTGCCATTTGAAATAAATACAAAATTTTAATTGCTAATTTTTAATTCAAACAGCTAATTTTATTTTTATGCATCGAAAATTTCGTGAAGTAAAAGAAAGAAATTGAGTAATTTAAAGCGTGATGTTCTTATTTCTTTTTTTGTTTTCATAAAAATGAGTGAATCAAAGTATTTACTTCACTTATTAGTTGGAAATTTGAAATGAACTCAATTTGGGACCAAAAATACCTTATTGTCTTAAGGTAAAATTGTAAATTTAAAAAATCTCAAATTTATACTAATTTCCTAACTTAATGGAACATTTATTAGGTGAAAATATAAATATATAGTTTATTTTTATTGTTATGGTTATTGAACACTTTGAACGTAATTTGGATGAACATCAACAGCTGATTTCCTGAGAAGTCATCTGCTTACACGACCGCACCCTCCAATGCACTTTTATGCTCCAGTAACTTTCAAAGAAGACTAAATTCAATAGCATAATTGGAAATTTATACTCATGTGGTAAAAGTTGATAAGCTGTCATGCATGCGCACGTCCTGAGGGATTACACTCCACGTTAATCATTACCATTCATGAAACATGGTAATTTAAACCTTTTAATACAAAATTATTCCTACATATTTTATCTTTACATAAACTGTGTGCAATGGATGCACATAGGGATGATGTGGATTATCGATTTTTCTTGCTCGTAATTCTCACAGCGATTTGGTTTTCGACTTGAATATTAAGCGAATTATCTCCATCATTAGATTTCCAACACTTGGAGATGATTAATGCAAAGCCTTGAAAAACTGGAACTTATAAAGTGACATGAAAGCCCAGAGTATTAACTAATATGGTGTTACACATCTGTTTTATGAATAAATCAGTTCTGAAAGTTTTATTGCCCAAAGGCTGCTTATAAGTCAAAATATACTGACAAAGGAGAATAGATCGCTATTATCAATAAACCGTCCTGAAAGTTGTAGTAGTAGTGGTAGTAGTGAGAAATGGATTTTGAAATGTGAGGAAGTGAACTGTCCATTAAGTGCTCTTTCATTCCCAGGCACTACTCAGTTGCCACCCTGACTTTACTCATAGCAGCCTTTTGATCGAATCCCCGTAAATTCCCTTGCGAGTTCAATCGTCACTTATTCTCGCTGCAAATATTGTCATGCCTTTCATTACCCTTTAGTGTATATTTGACTGGAACTTTTCCGCATAACACCAGTGAACCAATCTGAAGAGAGGTGGCTGATGGATATTAGTCACTACTTCTTACTTCATTAAAAGTGACCCTCGTTATAATGTACTTTTGCCGCCTGCCAATCCTTGGGCACAGGTCTTGAACATAAACCACACTTTTCTAACTCGATTCAATAATGATAAATGATGCTTACAGAATACTAAAATTTATAACAATCCGTTTAAGAACTTATCAATTGTGGGTTTAGTACGAGTGCTGTTAGATTGCTAGCCTCAGTGTGCCCTGATGTCTGATGTTAAGACAAGGTACAAGATCTATTCAATTTGATTAAAAGTTACGAAATTACTGAGTGAAATATCACTAAAGCCTTCGATGTCTCCGTAAGTCTCCTTCAAGCAAAAAGGACGCACCAATAAGCCGGGAGTAAAAGCCAAAAGAGATATTTGTAAATAAAATTTAAAAAGTGATTAGAAAGATAAGATTAAGAAAATAAAAGAAATGCCAAAAAATGTTTTTTCTGATCAGATCAGCAGACTTAAGGCCCCATTCGGTACTGCGTAAACGTTAATCTTAGGATTACGTGTTCTCGAAGGGCCAAAACATGTGAAGAACTAGCCAAAATTCAACGAAAAAATCTTTGGATTATGAGTTGGCATGACTATTTCCAGTTTCCTTGATTTAGATCTTCTTTTGTTTCAATGAATTCCGAGAAGAATTTGAAAAAATATAAAAAAACAGGTCAAGGCTAAGACCAATGCATCAGACACCAAGTTCTTCGTTTGATCGATCAATCATGAGTATGATAGGTAATGACCTTAATTTTCCACCTTCTAATGCTTCCAGCCTCCATTTTCAAGTACATAAAATTTGAAATGTGAAGTTATAACATGCATGTAATTGTTCACAGAAAATAGGAAATACTCTTGCACTTTCATCAGGTTCACTGTTTCTCAATCGCACCGATCAACGAGGAATTCTAGCACCCGATTTCCAGTGGTTTTAGAGGCTGAAACAACACATCTCAAATTTTGCCCTTAGCGTCGACGCTAGATTCAGTGCTAGCACAAACACACTCATGAATATATATATATATATATATATATATATATATTTAGTGATCGCAGATAGTAACCGTGTGATTTAACCTATTTTAAATAATTTACATTTAATGGTACTACATGAACGCCACTATGACTGCCATGCTTTGGACACCGAAGAAAGTTAACTGCCAGAAAACAATTTATCAGGTTTATTTTAATGTCAAACTATTGGAACAGAGACAAAATCTAAAGTTGCAGAGCCAACTAAAATTCTCACATTTAAAAACTAGCGATTTAAAAAATATTGGATACTTAAGGAAGCACATGATTGATTGATCTTCTAAATTCCAATGCGTAAGAGAAAATCGGTCACAAATTTTGGTCTAAATTAGTATAAATTTATGCCACGCGTTTAGTTCCCAACATAATCCCATCTACTTTCTGGTAATGTGGGGGGTTAGATATAAAACTAATACAAAACAACGCATATGACTGACCTTGAACCGAGGTCGGTAATCAGCTGTTTTCCAACTGGGTAATTAACTGCAATGGATCAAGGCTAAATCAGCTGATCAACTGCAATTTAGGCAGTTAAATGGATTAGTAAACAGGGCGTTTAAAGTTTTAGCACTTGGATTAAATTGGAATAAAATGCAATAATTTGAATTTAAAATAGAATGAATTTCTATAACACAGAGCAATAGAAAGTCTCTTGATTAGCCTACAAAATTTTAGCGCAGTTAGACACTCAAAGTCTAACCATACTCATCAAGAAGTGCTTATAATTTCAAGCCGACCAAGGGGGGCACAATTTACCTCGATAAGGATAAAGCTTGCGACATTCCTCCTTTACTCAAAACACCTAGATCGAAGATATCACAAAACAACTGTCCTTTATTTTCCATGAAAGGGAACAATGTAGTCCAATCTGGCATTCAGCGTTTCAGGGGGAGAGGGGAGAAATAAGATATAGGACCACAAATAGCTTTGGGGAGGGAAATGTGGTCACTAAAAAGATGCCATTGCAATCAATATATCGGGGGAGGGGGGGGGGTGGATTAGCACTATATCGGTTAATTATTATCATTACTAGCATGCAGGGTCGTGGTACGGAGCAAATGTAGGGGTAATTTCGTGAACAAGGGCGAAATAAGCTACAGCACCAGCAGCACTAATATACAAGCGAGGATAAGGCGAAAAAATAACACACACACACATAGTAAAGAACACAACAACACGGAGAAACCAAAATAAAATGGGCGATGTTCGAACAAAGGCAGATCAGGATCGACGGGGGGCATAGGGAGGAAGTGTTGGTGAGAGGAGGACAGTGGTACTCAACGATTGGACGACGCTGGGGTGCAATTGAAATGAGCGCTGCGCCCATTGCTGGTACCATTGTTGTTGTTGTTGTTGGGGGAGTGGGTTGCCGCCATTGGGGACCGCTTGCCAATACCTGCCGAATGATGCTGTAGGTGATGATTGTGATATCCTCCGGAAGAATGGTGGTGCTGTTGTTGGTTGTGCAAATTGGTAGTAGTTACCATGACCCGAGGGTCCAGCTGTGTCACCCTTAAAATTGCGTCTTCTAACTCCTGCAAGAAAACAAAAGAAGCAAATAAAATCACAATTCTTCAAGCTGTATGAAATTTAAAAAAACTTCAAAGCACCATGCCTAACCATCATGCTACGATTCTCAGATTTCCATATTCTTAAATACTACTCATATTTACTACTAACAGTCCTCTTGAGCTTTAAGAAGAATGGTAAAAGGAAGAAGGAACTCAAGACCATTGAGTTGCAATTCTCAAACAAACCAGAGACACAAGAGGAGGAGAGGGGGTGGGGGAGACATAAGTTTACCTGATGGGGTATATTGCAGTCTTACAAATACTCGCTAAAGACACACACGGGAAAGGCAGTTTGTAGTATTTCGAGGGGAGTCAAATTTAAAAGTAGAGAGGTGTTTAAGGGAACTTACGGCATCATTCTCTGAAGGAACAGCGACGAATGACTGAAAAGGGGAAAAAAGAAAGCGAGTTAAACCAAGTGTAGGCTAATTGATAAGACTAGAAAACAGACGACTAGGCGATAAGGGACTAACTAAATTACTCAATACAGTCATAGTTAATTCCCATGAGAGCGAAATGTCACTAATTGGTTCACAGGCACACCAGAACACATCCACCATCACGATTTCTAAGTCCGCACTTTTTAACAAGCCAATCCGGTGCTTGGCACACTAAGTACTACACGCCCACACACGCTAGGGGGTCATGCATACTTTCAGGAATGGGAAAAATAACTAGATCACGAGCTGAGTTGAAGTAGTAAATCACCAGCTAGAGGAAATTAACGAATGCTCTACAAACCCGATAAACTTGACCCGTTGGATGAAAATGCACAGGGAGGCATGGAAGGACTAGTAGCTGAAAAAATTGACAATTTGGGGATCAATAAATAATCCAATCTAAAGTTTAGAGTCTACTTATTTGTATTCAAGTAAAACTTGAGTGTGCGCGAACTCACCTCCGGATTAATATATCTTTCTGAATAGGTCTTTGTAGTCACGACCTGAGTTCGTTTTGTAGTTCGTTTGATAAGTTTTCCATTTTCGTCTTCTATGAACTCCGATTCAATCTTGGGTTCGGATCGTTGGACGGTCTAAAATGGTTAAAGCAAAGAAAGTGATAAGAGTAACGGATAATATGTTTAAAATCATCTTAAATACTATAATGAATTTAGCTGTAAAACTGCGATTTTCTTTTAATAAACCCTTTTACACCGATTCAGTTCCCGTAGTTTAAGGACCAAATAACTATGAAGTCGACAAATAACAAATTCAAGCTAATGCCATTAAAGGAAGGATAGAAAACAGCTAAAATGCGATCTTACAATAAGAGAGGATGTTTGCATAAGAATAAACCATGTCATTCGACATAATTTCATGGCAGATCTTCGTCTGCCTGTCAGAAAAAGTCAACTGTAAAATTAAATCCACTGATAAATTGTAAGTAGCAATGATTTTACGTACTACTGTCTCTCCAACTCCCCCATTTAAGGGAATAACAGGAGTATGCTGAAGACGTCCTGAATTCAGTTGAATTCCATCAATAGCTTCCGCGAGTTCTGCAGCGGTAGATTGATTATTTCCATTAGTGCCATGGTAGCCATTGGAGCGTTTAGTTGGCGACGAAAGAGTAACTGGAGCCAAGCCAGGCATTACAGGTACCGCACCAGCTAAGTGAATTCGAGGAACAGCACTTGAAGTTGGTGGCAAATCATCTTCACGTCTGTCAACCGATAATTTCATTATCTAAAAAAAGCAGAGGAGAATCACATTAAATATGGCAGGGCTGATAGGCAAGGTGAAATGTGCTAGTATCAAATTAACCCAGTTTGACGAAGAACCGTGTCATATCATAGGTGTCATGGAAAGGGATCACTTTAGAGTCCAAGTTTAACCCAACTGGGAGAACCCAAGTAGAAATATGCACACAACACTCCTTGCCGTAGCAGAAATTGACACTAGTTTACCTCCAGGCATCGTTTTCATACTACCGTACTCTTCGACAAACACTGCATTGATTATGGCTAATTAATAAGAGAGGTGGCAGGTATTGAGTTACAAACTAAAAAGGACAAAGCAAGTATCGCACATAATTAGGGTATATTATTATATAACTGCCGACTATTTTCTCCTAAAAGAAACCCCAGTTCTAAAACCACTTCCACAAGTACTTAAATGCTACTTTAGAGACTGGGAGTATTAAATGAGTACCTGAAATGACTTCTAAATTAAAGATAACCGATGGAATTATTACATTCCTCGGAGTTTATGACAGTATGGGCATGGAATTCGGAGAGAAATTGGCTAAATATCGAACAATTGTCCTTTTGGGGGCGAAAAAAGATCGAATATTTCCTTTTTTGCAGGGCTTTACTTTTTTATTTCTATTAGACAACCAGAAGACTGGAAAGGTCATGAAACAAACGCCGAAATAAAGAAAACAGAACTAGCAATTTATTGTAAAGAATGCAATGAACAAAATTAGGCGAAAATGTTCCAATAATGCAAAAATTGGTTACTTTTAGTTCACTCACAAATGCAGAATCTGCAACAGGAAAGTAGACACAAACTAGAGAACGAACGGTGCTCACAAAGCATTTTTAGGCACTATCAAGGTCAAACGCGTCAGACATGTGGAATCAAGTTGAAAACAAGTTGCACTCATCATTCATGAGTAGAGCCCTGCCCAATAGAGACGAGAAAAAAGTTTTGGGGCCTATGTGGCTATGACAGGTAGACAAGAGAGAGTTGATCTAAATCAATAGGCAGAGAAAAACACATGTTGAGGCAAGAACTATATCTACCAAAACAAGGCTTCTCTAAGAACGCAAAATTTGGATGATGAATCCTGCAAAGAATTCAACTTCAATAACAAATGAAAAGTATAACAAAAAAAAGCGAGATGAGAAAGTCTACCAAATGTGGGGGGGGGGGGTTGTGCGCAGAAGACAAGTACTGCAAAAATTATGTGATTAAAAGGGCAGGTGAGAGGGAATATTGGAACCTGCCACCCAGATTTCCACAAGGCAGAGGAAAATGGTGAAAAGAAAGCAGAAGGCCCAATAATCGTGTGGCTCAGATGAAATATGGACCCCTCCATCTTCATTATTCTCCGAATTCCAAACTTGACCAACAATTTCCTCTTAAATGAGCATGATCCTCTACATAGACCGTTCTTGTTATATGTATGGATGCTTCCACATGGTGAAAAGTTGCATAGCTTTGCAGTGCTACCACGGGCTTTGAATAAAAAGAAGCTAGAAGCTCAAAAGTTGGGATCCTGCGCAATAGCCAGTATCACTCAGAAGTAACGTCATTACGACACCACCTGAAGGAGAATTCACGTGATGAAGTGCTGATGACTGAAAAGTGCTGAAGTCGGAAAATCTAAATTGAACTAACGAAAGCTGAATACTTTCATTACCCTATTGAAACGCTGGTGGCCACTTGATTGGCTATCAGATAGAAAGCCAAGTTCCCTTCAGAACAAGACTTGAGCAAATCGAGCAACTCGAAATTTGGCACACACACACACATAGGTAAAAGTCACGCAGCTACAGCAGTCAGGTCAGGGTGCCAAAAATGTCAACAATACTCGTAGCTTTAAGCAAAATAACCACCTCCAAGTTCGACAATATACAGAGAATTCAATCTAGACGGAGGGACGAGCTTTTATCACAGTCGGGGGCATCTATTCCTATATTTTCCAGACAGGAGTGTACGATAGACTTACCTCCACGTGGTGCACTCTGGGCAACGTATATTCATACGGCAAAAAAGTCTTTTAACTGGCAGTTGACTTCTCACTTCAAACTACCATCACCCCACTCTATCCCATATTCGACTATTTCACAGTACTCACCTCACCTTTGTTCTACCTTTGTGTTCGTCTCTTACATCTTTGAAACACTCCTCTCTTACCCCTCTCGGCTTTTTTCAAGTTGATGTTCCTTCCCCTCTGTGAAGCCTGAAGGCAACTAAAGGGCTAATGATAACCATCAAGACCCCTGCCATTTGATATAAACAAATAAATATTTTCCAGACAATGAAATGAACTACTAACTAATATGATCATAGTAAGTCCTTATCAAATCTAACAAGGACTGTGGAAATTGTATGATTAAGGGATCCATCAGCAATCCTGACATTTGACCGAGGAGGGTAGGCATAAAACAGCTAAGAGCTGTCCACAATTAAGGGCCACTGGGTCCAATGTAGAATGACGCACACTTACCAATAGTACGACAAAGCCAGACTCCAAAATTGGAGATTCCCACGCGCACACACAGGACTCCACCCGGTGATGAATAAAATAAGCAAGTGTCGCAAATCGACAAAGGCAGGAGTATGAAAACAACTCCAAGTTTACTACGAGAATTTTCCGAAAATTCGCTCAGGGCGGTGAAACGGAAAATTCCATTTCATGAAACCACTTTTTGGAACCAAATAACCGCCCATCTGAATAAGCGCGCGAATTATGCATTCGGAATGGCTCATCCAGTATGGGGAGAGTCAAACTTCAGCCCCAAAAAGAAAAAAGTTGTATGACTGTATTTTAACTTTAAACTCCAAATAACTGTGGGTGGTTATTCGGAAAACCCCGGTGAGAACAATCACCTCCTTAGCGGCTATTCCCACTGAAAGCTAAAGAAAGGGTCCCTTCCGAATAGAACTTGATCTTTCCTCGAGTTTAAAGATTCTTGTAGACAGTAAACAAGTACAGAATCCCCATATTGATGGCCTTATGAGAATCCTATTTACAAAACTTATCCCAACTAAGAATTGAGTTCACAATCACACAAACACACACACGAAGAGAGCACACCTTAACTACACCATAACTCGATTAAAAGGAGGAAAATCGAAAACTGGAGAAGCAAAGTCTGCGCAGAACTCGGTAACACAAAATGAAGTTTTCCATTTGGATACTAACGATAATTGAAATAATTTCAGATAATAATGAAAATATAGGAAATGTTGTCCTCGAAAGAAGGTAGCTTAATTTAACTGATGGACTAGTATACGAGATGAATAAAAGTTGGCTTGCTAACATAAACTGTGAATTTTCAATTGGCTGACTAGTTTTGTCGGCAGTTAACACACACACACACAGCCATAAAATTAGGTCAGTGCGGTCAGAATAAACTGCTTACCAGTTATGCTCCTGAAAATGGACGATTTTGAGAGAGAGAGAGAGAGTGGCAAGTTAGGAGACTAGGACTACATAAGAAGAAGGTAGGAAGTGCCAAATAGAGAATAGAGACACATCATACGAAAGAACCAATAACTAATCAAATCGAGTATTTGCAATCGGAATAATCATATCTTAAAGTCGGGGTGCGCAATAGAATTACCTCCACGTGGTGCACCCTGGGCAATGCATACTTATACGGCAAAAAAAGTCTATTGATCGGCAGTTGACTTCTGACTTCAAACTACTACGGCCCGACTATTTGTCATATTCGACCCCTTCCCCAGTACTCATCTTGCCTTTTCTCTGCCTTTGTGTCTGTCTGCCTCTTTTACATTTGTGAATCGCTCTTCTGTTCCCCACCCCTCGACTTTCTTCTACTTTGATGAACCTTCCCTCTGTGAAGCCCGAGGTCAGCTAAATGGCTAATGATATCTATCAAAACGCCTGCCATTTGAAATAAATATATCCAAGAGACACTCAACACTATCAACTTCTTTGCCTTCGGAACATTTTAAAATATTACCACATCCCTCGTTAATAGTGTCTTATCCATGGGAAATATTATTTTAAATTGGCTCGCTTTTTCCAGGAAAATTACGACTGGTCAAATGACGATAGGAAATAGTTTGTGCAGCCTTGAAGCTAGAACTACAGCATTCCAAAATCAAGAGTTATACAGATTTAAATGAGTTTACTTAAAAATTGTAATTCTAGAACTCCGTTATTGTTAAGGGCTTGCTAAGTACAAACAAACTACTTATATTTAAAAGTAGAATAATTAAGTATTCAGGGTTAATCGATAATGAAAAATACATATGGTTGTTTAGATATAATTATTGATACGCAATTATACATTGTTTAGGCCTCAAAACGCTTGTTATGTTTTCATCACGTGGGGACTTAGAGTAGAGGACAGTGAACAATATTTAACATTCGGGAAAGGGTAGAGTGTATGTTGACTACATAATTACCACTATCAAATAAACTTGTCAATGTTACCATCTCCATTCCTTTATGAAATTTATTTTGTTGTCAAAACCAATACAGGAACAAAATTAGTGAAATAAAGTAGAAATTAATAGTTAGAAAGTATCATTAACCATAATCAGTTGTAATAAATTATTATAGATTACGTAATTCAAATAAAGCCTGACTTAAACCCCCAAAAGTAGCGTTTATTGAGGATGATTCACGTATTGAGATATTATTCGGTGATTATTTGCTACAGCTTACTTTTATCAACCTAATCTACAAATGCACAGAATGAATAATGGAATATTTTTGGAGGACTTTGTAGGGGATTAGCTACCTCCATAACCTTGACTATTCTCAGAAAGCTCTATATCAGTTTCTTTCAACTCGAAGTCCCCGGGAATTAGCTAAGCTAAGACAAAGTTATAAAGGAAACAGACGTGTAGCAAGGAGCACGTTTATTCAGTACGTTATATTGATAGCGAAGTGTGTTTTTGGCACAGCGATAAGTTATCAATAAATCTAGCATAATTCGCGTGAACATTAATAGCTAAATATCTCTGAGTAGTGTTCTGTA